ACACACACATCATTGTAACATCAATACATTCATCACTTCGTTCAGAATCTATAACCTGTTATTTGCATTTATAGTCCTATGGCATAGAAATATGCAAAATTAAATTTCCTATTTAGTGATTATATCTTGAATCAAATTTGTATCWATAAATTTTGAATTAAAAACAAAATTCTTTGGTATGAAAAATAATTCAATTAAGTCTTAATTATAAATATTAAAATACCTCATAAACTTTACTATTTTGTAAGTGATGCACAGATTGCACAGATGCAAATCTTGCACAGATTGTTGTCATGGCGTTGAACATTTATAATTATAATAAATAATTTAATATTTTTATTAAAATAAATATAACCATTCATTAAATTAATTTTATTTTTTTAATTGTACTCAAAGTCTTTTAATAATGGAACACTAAAAATGATTCTAAAATATTATCAAAAAGTCAAGTTTATTAATAGAAACATAAATGTAAATTATTAGAAGTACTAACTTCCTGTACTTGTTACACGTCCACATCTATAATTAAGAATTATTAAGTAATTGAATTCTCACTAGTTGTTCACATTCCAATAGTTTACCAACATAAGATCAAACATTTTAATATGTTAACATTCAATGGCGAGAGGTTGTGGTATATATGTAATTTGCCAATATATGTTATGGAMATAATCTAATCAATAATTATTTATTTTTAGCTACTAACAAAACTTTTAAAGACATAATATTACTCTTAGTTTTAGGTACCAGAAAATGAAATATAGCTAGTTTATTTAAAGGTCTTGAATTGCATTGGACCAAATTTCACACTTAACAGAACAAATTTAAGTGCATGCTCTTAAATTGTGTTAAATATATAACAAAAATATCTTAAAGCAAAAAGCATATAGATCAGTTGTCTCAAAAGAAAAAATAATATAAAAAAATTACACAACAATTAATATACAGACATTTTTCTTCTTTAATTTTTATTTTTTTAACTTAATAATTCTAAACTACATTTAATTCTATCATTTTCTAATTTCATTCACAGTTGGCAAACAAATTTTAAACACAGAATAAATAAATTGAGAAGAGAAAAATTATACCCAAGGCAAATCATTTTTTTTTAAATTTGTTTCTTTTAAGTCAAAATGTATAGTTGGTACTATTCATCAGTAGTAAACAACAACTGTACGATCATTGGGAATAATATACTTATTATTATATTAATAATGTATTTCTGGTATATTTAATTGGGAGGTCCTTCGTTATTATCATACCGAATTTGGCCATTGTTTAATGTGGTAATGCCCAAGCCATACAAATGACCACAATATTTCTTGCTGTCAATCATTCCTTCGAAATACATGTCCCTGATTTTAAAAAAAGCCATGCCTGTTAGTAGAGAATCGCTACCAGCCTGGTGTTGTGGTCCAATCCGCTTTAGTTCCAATTGATCTGCAACTTCTTGCAGACCACCTTTCAAATTTTTACAGCTCTTCATCAGATATTTGATGTCATACACACAAGGAAAGTATAGAGAGAACATATCAAAAAAATCTGACTCCTCTTGTGGTAATTTTTCGTCTGTCAACACCTTCACTAAGTAGCCAAAATCAAAACTGCTGTGAAATGTCATCCATTTTATATTATCCATCAATACCAAGCCAGATGTAATTATACATTCAGCAAAAACTATAGGTTCGATTCCATTCTCTTCATGCTTCTTAAACTGTATTCTGAAAAATAAAGACAATTTATATGCAAATCTTGACAATTAAAGAAATCTACTATTACCTGGAATTTGTCAATAATTCTATACTGTCTTGGGCATACATATCTTCTGACAAATTGAATTTAAAATTGAATTGCCAAGTAGTATATGGACCAGTGGGAGTTTTACCATCTTCGTCAAAAAATGAAAGCCCCAATTGAATGATCCTTAACAGATCAACATTACACCGCAACAATTGGTACAGATAATCAGCAGTTGTTTTAAAATCCCCAATAGGTCGGGCTACAACACCTGGGAATTCTGTATCCATAGCCACATAACAATATTTTGGTAAAAGTTTTCTTATTGACGTAAACTCTTCTTCTAAATTATGAGCCCAAACGTCCTTAATGCCACAATCAGGTCCGACTGCAGTTTGTACTTCCGGTTCCCTCTCTTTTACCTCTTTGGCTGGTGGTGTTTGACTATTACCAGGCATAGTTTTCGTATCTTCACTTAACCTCTGTAATACGTACGATAGCCACTTAGGATTTTTTTCGTTAGTATCCGTTAAAATGTTATCATTGCTTTCTAATTTAGTGGACGGCTCAACAAACAATGTTCTTCGTACTGTGTTCCGTGCGTCTGCACTCAACTCTGTTTGTTGTTCACCTCTACTTTTCCCCCAGGTTGTGTTCAACTGACGTAAATTTTCTGATGTACCGTCAACAGCTACACTTTTCATTGGGAATGCTTGGAGATTGTCCACTGAATAAACTCAAAGTTTAATGATCACAGGCAATTTCACTACCTTGAACTGTAAGATAAAAATAATAAATATTCAGTATTGACAATTAATTATTAAAACAATAAATAAATCAACTCAATAAGACTTTATAGAATGATATTTTGATTTTATAACAGACCATTTTAGAAGTCAATAATTTTCTATTAATAAATTAATGTAAATAATTTAAATGAAGATATTAAATGTATAAATGGTTCAATGAAAATGTTATATTATTGAACTAATAAATAACTAATGGTGAATATTCTCATTACTTTCAAATTTTTTTTATAAAATTTATTGCATTCAATATTTATTAATTATTTCATTTTTTTTTTATAACATATCAATATAAAATTAATTTATATTATCAATTGTTATTTATTTGTTTTATTACATTTTTTTTAGAATCTTAAATAATTTATTTTCAAGTTGTAAAATCAATATTTGTTAATCAACGCAAGCCTTTGAGTACTTCATATATGAAATATCTAGTTTTAAAATAAAATATTTTTATACAATTTTTAATTACTTTACATACATTATTATTTAAAAAACAAATTCYGAGTATGGTAAGGTGATTTTTGAGTTATTTAACTGCCGTTAAACTTACGTTTAAATTTTTTTTWTTTTGAGGTAGAATAGCWTCAAAAATTTTATGTTATAACTCAAGAGCGAATCCATCCTACATTAACGGGAGCGGATTATAAATATCTAACTATATTTACTATTTACCTACTGGTAAATACGAGTATATATAATAATTGCTAATATATTATAATGAATAATTTTTTTCTTAAACTGAATTGAATTATTTACAATTTAAAATTACCCTTCTATTATCAAATACCTGTTTAAAATTTCACAATTTCACATTATTCTATTAGTCGTCAGTCACCACAACAATTTTGGTATTATGCAAGTTGTAATGAACAGATAACTAATAATAATTAATWATATAAATCAGTTGGTCATAATATTGTTATCAATAATTTATAAATGTATGTTATTAAAATAAAATATGACGATTTGTGACCAGTGCCGCAACTAGAATTTTTGAGCCCTAGGACAAAAGATTATTTATAGGGGCCATCTATATATAGGCCATCACTACACCAGGGTTGAAATTAGTCAACAAATTTATGGGGGTCAATTAGACAAAATTCAACAAACAAACATAATCTTCATTAAAAAGTATTTCATACATGTACAACATACATTTAAGTAATGAACAACACTTTTCAATATCTATCTTATAAATTTATTATAAATAAAAACACATGAAAGAATAAGTTCATTATAATAGAATAAAGTACCTAATACATTTTATAAAAATAATATGATGTTGATATTTTAAACAAATTTCATCTTTCTTGCTTTCAAATTAGAGAAATCTTTAATTAATTTGTCTGTTTTTAATTCTGAAGTCCGTTTTTGTTCTATATTGAGTATATCAATGTTTRAAATTTGATTTTGGTTACAAGAATTTCTTAAATTATTTTTTATAATTTTTAATTTTGAGAATGACGTTTCAGCCGTTGCTACTGCAACTGGCAGTGTTAAAAATATTGTACAAGCTACTAGAATTTCCGAGTAACTTGTTGCTATATCATTGGTAAGTATAAAATTGGCCATTTCATTTATAGTTTTAAAATTTTTATTTTTTATTAATTCTTTTAATGATAAAATCTGACCAGTAAAATCAGAACTAATGTCATCTTTATATGTTTGAATAAAGTCATATGACTCCTTTACAATATTATCTTCACTTAAACATAAGAGATTGATTGGATTAAGAAAATCAAATGTAGTATATACATTGTCCATTGCTTTAAAACGAATATTAAGTTGCATTAAAACAGTATCTATAAWARGATAAAATACTTTAATTTTAAAGTTTTCTGTTGTTATAGTTAAGAGGACGCCACACTCGCATGTGTTGTCTTCGTCTTTCAAGTGCGTAACATGGCAAATTTTATGCTCAGCAGTTCCAATTTAGCTCCGTTAGTTTACAACTTAGAGTAAATTGACCTCTTATAAGAATTAAAGGTAACATTATAATCTAGGTTTTCACAGAGGCTTTTTATTATATTTCAATTTTGAAGCAACTTATGAGTATTTTTAAAACTGTGAACTGCTTGTATATCTTAAAATACTCATAACTCGCTTCAAAATTTAAATATAATAAAAAGCCTCAGTGAAAACCTAGATAATAATGTTACCTTTAATTCTTATAAGAGGTCAATTTACTCTAAGTTGTAAACTAACGGAGCTAAATTGGAACTGCTGAGCATAAAATTTGCCATGTTACRCACTTGAAAGACGAAGACAACACATGCGGGTGTGTCCTCTTAATCGCCTATCTCCATCGACTTCATCAAAATGTTTTTTTGCATAAATCTGACGAGGTTCAGTAGGTTCATATTCCTATATGTAACTGGTAAGCTCCATCTCAAACACAATGACTTGGCATTATTTACTATATCTTCGTAATTATTTCTCAATCAATTTATGAAATAATAAACATCTTTTAATCTGTCTCGTGCATTTTGTAGATTCATATTTTGTTGTAGTAACATTTTTGAAGCACCAAAACAAACAAATCGCTAGATAGGCCGTAGAGGTGACGTTAATAGCGGGATTCCCGTTAAAATTCCAACAAACGATAATAATAAATCAATGCGGGACTACAACTACAATATTTTGATAATTAGGACAATTAGGTACTGTTATAGTACAAACATTTTTCAGATTCATTTTATCTTACACAGTATACACAATTGTCACTAATTCTCACAATACAGTAAATATTGGGTATATAAAAATTAAAAATTGTGAAAATTATAAATAGGGGCCACAAAATAGCAAAGGAGGCCGTTCCCAGGGGCATTGCCCCGGTGGATGTTGGGATGTTGCRGCACTGTTTGTGACTGATTAATATAACAATACATTTACATAGGATAGAACAAAATGTTAAATTTAAATAATACATTTTGAGATACATCCAATGGAGGGAGGGGGGTCCCTACTGCCCCCACTTGATCCGCGCCAGTTATAACTGTTATAAAATTATTTAAATTATTAAACAGTAAAAATGGAAAAGTATTTGTTTAAACATAAATTACATTATAAAAGGATGTAATACACACACATCATGTCATTGTCTTACAATTTCACATCACTGCAAATTTTACTTTTAGCATATCTGTCTTACAAAATTAATTTTTATAAAAGAACAGATTGTCCAATTGACAATTTTAAAGGAAAAAATATTATCTAGGGGCCTGTGTTAGCTTTTTTATATTTTAATTTTAAARAAAGTTATGGAAATTTTAAAATTTAAAATTGTAWTATGTATTCAAAAACATTACTTTAAAAAGACACAACACATAMACCTAAGTTACTTAAAAAATTAATTTACCTGATGAAAACATAGCTTTAAACTAATTTTGAAGTTGTTGAGTATCTGCAGAAATTATTATTCATCACCCATTATCAATAATCGAATAACCTAGATCAAAAAAAAATTTGATTAATTTTATAATACATTTTTACAGTAACCATTCAATGAGCCTATGAGGCGTATGATGCATAATGCCAATTTGGAMCCCACTTTCKCTTTYAGTTAGSTCTGTCATATCTATTATTTTTGAAATGCCCATAAACTGTATTATCCCATTGCTACTTAATAACTACTATTCACTTTAACATCTTCATGTATCTATATCTTTAATTGCATACCTATGTATATTATTATGACTATTATTTTTTTTTCTCTCTCGCTTTGTAAACCATATTACCTGTTTTATCTATGTATAAAAGGGCTTAGCCCGTGTATTCTAATAAAATAAAAATAAAATAAAATAAAATAAATTCATGTCAATGATTTACATTGACATATGTATAAATTTACATATATACCTGCAGTCTACTAGAAAATAGATTAAAATGATTAATCCATGTTTTATAGCAAAAAGTAATAAAAATTGCTAAGTAATTGACTTAAATGAAATTTGGTTCTATTTAACCTAGTATTTAACTACCCTTGTGCATCATTTCTATTAATTAGACTAAATTAAATTCATATATTAGTTTTTTAGATTATGAAAGAAATTTATCGATTTACAGAGCAAAATGATTGAGCCRAAAAGCACGGAAAACAGTATTAAACAGAGAATATTAACTTTTGGAAAAACAATGGCAAAAATTTCATTAAATAATAGTGAATCACTAATTATCAACTGGCACTTGTTGCWTTACATAGAGTGCTGAAAATACTGCTGTAATGAAAAACTATGACATATAGGAAATGGGATGGATAAAAATTGATATTGGCATTTGAAATAAATATATTACATAACATTTTAGAATGCAAGTTGCATCAATATATTATTATAAATAAGTGCATAGAAAATAAATTACTGCACAAGAAGAATGTTGTGGAAACAGAAATGATGCGATTTGAAAGTCGGATCAACGCTTTAGTAGAATCAATAATACAGTGATAACTAGCAATAAAACAGAATGTATATAACTGAAAATTATGAGAAAATAATGACACAGAAAGTATAATTGTACACAGAAAGAGAAAACACAACACAAATTATGTCTGTCAACAAACCAATTGCATTGGTCATTATTGAATAAGTAAATGATTGTCGATTATATACCGCAAATCACCAATAATATAAATATAAAAACATAGCCGTTGCTGTGAAATCTAACTTACTAACAAAAGGTTATTTGTTTTTCAACGCACCATAATGCACTTGTCAACAGTGTCAAACAGCGCAAAAACATCATGTCTTTGWGACCATCGAATCATTTTACCATTAAAATTTGCACTCAAAAGGTTTCCAACCGATTCTGATACACAAAACGTTCACATCCCGAAGACATATGTTACGGTTTCTCGGACAGTAGCGTCGTCGGCGAGACAACAGTGTAAGCGGCTCTAAGAAAGTGTACTTACGTTTAAGTGGTCGCCTTCGATCAGTCTTCAAATACAGATTTGGATTCAAAAAAAAGTTTTTAAAATGAAATACAAACAGACAAACTTATCGTCTAGACAAAACTGTTAAAAAATAATAATATTGCGGTACACAATATTTTGTTCGGATCACGATTCACGGCTGCAGTCATGTAAATAGTAAATACCAAAACAATGGGCYTGATAACGGCCATGATAACGACGAGCATGGATACGAAAATCTGTCCATGTCTCCATGAAAAAAAAGTACGACAGTATGCCACACGGACTACAAGATGTCTACAGAGTACTGACTACAACGAGTCAACGACTATTACGTCTCAGCGTTTCTCCATTTTACATTTCGTCGAGTTTCCAGTTTTCTACGTAATTTCACATTAAAATAATTGGAAAACGTCTAGAACCTATATTATAGGATTTGGTGTCATAAGCTCGATAATGATGCACTGTTTTGTCCGTCTTAAACCATATCGAAAGGACAAAATATATTATGATGTTTTAACGTTTAATATTAATAATATGTCATACAATGTTACTTGAACGTACGCTATAGTATTCGCCCGATTCGGTCTAATGTCATTAACTTTTTAAGTGCCGACAATCGAAGAGCACACTAAATATAATGTGACCTACATGCGTATTTAAATTAATATTTAATAACTGCTCAATTAATTAGGTATAGCTATCAATAGCTTATATATGGCTTGTGAATCAAATTAAATAATAATAATACAGAAAAATTTTTATATTATTATTCATATAAGACATAAATGTACCTTTTGATGGTTGTAGGATTATAATATTATGCAAACCGCGAACGCCTAGAAATTTTCATAATTCTCACCATGGCGATGCCTGTCTGAAACCAAATAGTTATAATATTAATCTGTGCTGAAACTTAACGTCGATACTTGATATGGACGGACGAATGATTTTTGATCACGAGTCAAAAACTCGTTATTAATTAGGAATTGGAAGACGATGAAATATTTTTATTGTAATGCTCACCGGAAAAAATATCTTAAATCATTAATACCCTTATACCCACAACCCATCTAGGTACCGACAAAACAGTGTGCTACTTGTTCTACAGCTGTGTGTGCAATAGGTATTAGGTGGGATTCTACCTAATAGTCCGGCGAAAGAAAGTCCGACGAAAAAAAGTCCGATGTCATAAAAGTCCCGCGAAAAAAAGTCCGGTTTATTTATTTACGAGGGGTAAACCACTATCGAAAATTTTGTACACCAGATTATAAAGAATAAGTTTAAGGTACAGCTGCTCTAGTACAGTTCTGCGCTTATATATGACCCGTAAACTTATAAATATGCACTAAAAATAAAAATAAAGCACTTAAAAAGGTCATTAAAAAAAGGATTTATTCGTATAAATATAAAAAATTGTCATTTATTTATAATTATTTGGTACTTAATTAATAAAAATGATAATAAAAATAATAATATAAAAATATAACTACATGGTTTTCGATTTATTGGGTATCTTTAAGCCGGACTTTTTTTCGCGAGACTTTTATGACATCGGACTTTTTTTCGTGGGACTTTTGTAACCGGACTTTTTTTCGCCGGACTTTTGTTCGGTGATTCGTATTAGGTTTATGGGACTATTGTCTAAATTGGTTAAATCATGCCTTTACAATATGATCATCGATTTGTGTGGATGTAAACGATGTAGTATTGTGAGTAGGTATATGATTTAAAGGCTATATAGTATATAATTGTGGCATTTAGAGGAATTATAATTTATATCTAATGCAAGAATATTGGTCCAGAGACATGACCCAAAAACGAGTTGCCACGTGGATGCTTGTAAAATATATAGTGTGGGTATACCTATATAGTTTCAGTAGCGGATCCAGAGGTCACCTAAGGGGGTAGCGAATTTTTCAAAATTAAATGACCTTTTTATATGATCTGTAAATTATTGGAGGCTAATATTATTTAAATTATTTCACCTATAAAATTAAATAAATATGAAATTAATAAACTTCATAAGTCATAACGTAGTTATTATAGTAGTACGCCTATCAAAAAAATAAAAATATCAGTTTTCAGCCCAATTTTTTAATATAAAAATACGGTTCAAGGGGGGGGGGCGATCCCGCATCGTCACCCCCTCGTATCCACCACTGTATACTTGTATAGTTTATACTATACTTTTTCGGCTTGTCGGATTCGGGTAAGTATCTATCAATTATTCAATTATCAAAACCTCACATCCTCATTACACAGTCGCCAGTMCACCGCGGGCGCCGGGCAGTGTACACTTTTTACGTTAAGCCAACGAAAATTACTGACTACATATATAATAGATAATATTTACCAGATCAATATAATGTTACATGTGTGAGTTTTAAGAGGATATCAGTTAGATGTTGTCTGTTTCACTGTTTGCTATGAATATTTGACTCTAGTCTCTGGCCAACGCAACATGGACACAACGCGTTTTTTGTTTTTGAGTGGTTTAGCTGTTTAGGGTAAACACTAAACAATAAAATGATTCGTTAAAAAATTATATAAAATATTGTTATTGAACAGTATAACATAACGATAATTTAATAATTAATATCCGTATAAATTTAGGTATTTAATAATTTTTTTTTAAATTTATTTTAAGTTTAATATATAAAGTCAAATAATAATGAAATATAAAGCCGACAAGTCGGACCCTCAAAAATATTATTCTCAAGTATTTTTGTAATAGGTGATTTTAGACTGAGGTAACACTAAAATCATCTATAAATTATTTTACGCAATAGCGTTTTATCTATACCTACTGTGCTTAAGGGTCTCAGAAAGAAAAGAAAATTAGCGCTGGCATCCTCCACTCGTAGAGTAAAAAATGGAAGAAATTTTAAATTAATAACTGTGTCTCGAATTCGAATACATATTTTTCATATTTCATGGTCCAAAGTTTAACATACAATTCTATTTAAGGAGGGACTATTGAAATGTTTAGGGGTTAAGTTTCACCAACTTATAATTATAGGTTGGAAGGTTCAAATCTTCTTATTACAGATTGTTTATATATTTTTGTTTATTCTTATCAAAAAAACTGTGTTAGGTGTCTACAATACTTGATAGTTGCTGGTCTTGATAAAAATTGATATGGCATGGTTGTAACTCGTAAGTAGCAGTGACATCAATCGAGGCATTGCTGWGTATGGTTAATACATACCCAATATTTTGACCACACTATAATTTTTCTGTGCCTGGCAGATATAATCGTTCTAATTAAATTGGTTTTAAGCATCGGCAAATATGGCCATGTGATATATTTCTTATATATTATTTAAATGAARTATAAAAATGTTTGATTTATGATTAACAGCTCATGTGTGAGTATGACTGAAGATTTCATTATTTAATTTATACACCATGTTTATAGGTACAATAGTATCTATAAATAATTAAATTTAAATAATTTAAGTACTAACTTGGTACTCAAATGTCAGAGGAACACAATATTAAAAAGCGGGTAAGTCGTGGATAGAATTGACGAGAATTTCTATAATGTAGTCACCAACAATGAATACAAGAATAGAGAAATTTCCTTATTGATTAAAGAACAGTTCAATATTCCCGTCAGTAAACAAAAGCGGGTATGTCGCTCTGCTGTACAGTAGGTTACTGTAATGGATGGGATTAAATTTGAATGCAATGAAAGGTATCATTGTATACGAAAAACGATTCTGAACGGAGATGATTTGTCRGTCTAGGATATATTATATTTAAATATTGTCATCATATATTCTATTTTGAAACAAATATTTTATTTTTCAATTAAGACTCATTTTGCATATGGCATGGTTAATCAATTATAGTAGTTAGCATGTAGATATCATAATTCATAATACCTTATATTATCATAGATATACATATAGGTACCTGGTTTGAGGATAAATCGTTATCATTACGCGATTTCATAAAAATTTAAAAC